TAGATCACTGGAACAGGTTGCCCAGAGAGGGAGTGCAGGCCCCATCCGTGGAGATATTCAAGATCAGGCTTGATGGGGCTCTGAGCAACCTGATCTGGTAACGCTGTCCCTGCTCACTGCAGGAGGGTTGGACTGGATGAGTCTTAAAGGCCCCTTCCAACCCAGTACATCCTATGATTCTAAGTCACATTTACTATTATCCAATCTTCATGAATTAATGCTGATTTACATGCTATACACTTGGTAACTGTTCAGATCCTCCATATACAAGTAATAATGATCTGGTCTAGTCATTAGCTTTACTAATTTGTTTTAACCACTCTTGAATGCTGTTAGAATAATGGAATTTATGTTACTGCTTGTGACAGTACTTTAGAACTATGTTTTATTTTAAAGAGGCTCCAGCTGAGGAATCTCTCCAAATCTTTCCACAGCAAACTTATACCACTTCTCTGGACTTCTGTCAAGCACAACTAGTTCAACACCATGAATATTACAAAAAGGCCAAGCTCCCTCTCAGTTCAATGTTAGTTCACATTAGAAGCAATAAAGAGATTTTGCTGCACACTGTAACTCAGCATTTTAGGGCATTAAGTGACCTTTGGTTAGTCTAATCTAACAGGCAACTGTTAAGAACCCACTCGAAACAAAAATAACCCATGAACTTCTACTATAAGCACATAGTTAATGACAGGTTTCAGAACTATGTCTAAGGCTACAGTCATAGAATTTATCAAAGGGTGTGTAAAAAAAAATAAAATACTTGTTTTGGAAAATCTTCTGCCATACCATTTTTTTAAAGTTCACATACAAAACAAACCTAGTTTACCTCGAAGAAAGGTCTACTGAATATTTCAACCCACCCGGACAAAAAAAAAAAATCAAATACTGTCCTAGATTCCAAAAACTGTGAAGAAAAAGTTTTATTATGAAATGTAAAGGGGCCCATCAATAGCAAACAAAAGTGTTTCAAGAGGTAATCCATTCATCTAGATACACTTCTTAATTCATACCGTATCTACCTCTGGCAAGCCAGGGTTTACAGGACTTAGGTCCTGTGATGACCTCTTTGCTCCAGATGAAAGTTTCGCTGTATCTGCCACTTCACCATTTGGCAAAATACCATCTGCAAACCAGACTCTCCTCTGTTCTTTGGGGCACAGTCCTAAGACAGGTTAAGAAAACAACACTGACTTCGTATTACTGTACCGGTCAAATAGCTGAATAAGCCCCATCTGCCCCCACATACAGAGAGCTGTTTTCTGTAACCAAGCACAGATAGACAGTTTGACACCAGTCATTCTCCAGTCAGGCAAATACATGCAAAAACATGCCATACTTGAAGAGGAAGCTGTCATGCTATACTTAAATCTATCAATTCCTATATAAGGAAGGCTACTTCCTCAATCATCCCTCTGTAGAAATATAAGATCTGAAATGCACATTATAACCAGAAGATGAAGTACACTCTCAAAAAGTTAGCTTATCACTGTTTAAAAAATGGTTTTCATTGAAGGTCAGATGCTTAACAGAAGCAAAACAACAGCTCTACTTAGCCACTAATCATTCATGTTTACACAGAGAATGAACCTCTGCTGCTCTCTAGCAACTTTTCTTTAAACAACTACTTTTTACTTTTACCGCAGAACTGGCAGTGGCAACACAAGCCAGAAATCTCCTAAGCTATGTAAAAATGATGAAATATCTGCACCAAAAAGACCCCGAAAAAATGCAAACAAAAAAACCCACTAGAAGCAGAACCAAAGAGGATAACAAAAAAAAAAAATCCAAACCATCCATATTTCATAAATGGAGACTTAAGAAAGGCTTGGTCAAGCTCATACATGGCATCAAAACTGGGAACTAAAACTGAATTTCCAGTGTCCCAGTTTGCAGATTTTCCATTTCCCACAAAAAAATATCAGTATACCCAGTATGCATCCATGATGTGATAAACAACTCTTTCCAAAGAGATCCTGAAAGTGTTAGGCATATTATACTATACTTAGCATACCTTCAATACCAGGTTGTTTAAGTACTGAGACAGGTAACGATGCAGAATCTGAAGGAGAGCTAGCATCACCAGATATGAGGGCTGTCTCCAGAGGTGGACTAGCACAATGCTCAGATGAGACATTGGAACTGGGGACAGGACCAGTGGGACTCATCATCCTTTCAAATGCCTGTGCTAAAAAAAGGCCATTGGTTTTTAAGATCTCACAACTGATTAAATTTCATTCGCAGTACACACTATTAAGGGTGAGGTTTTTTTTCCAAGAGCAGTGCACAATTAGTGAGCTAGCTATGAAAAACTGAACACGCAAGCTATTGCACAGAAGAAAATTTAGATTTATTTTCTACCTCCACATTTGCCTAATTAATTCTTAACATAGCAACAGACCTCCTTGTACATCTTGCTCCTGTTGCAGTGACTACACTGAATCATATGATCCCTGTACCTTGGTGCAAATACATATATCACATTTATCAAGTCAAATTCCATTCAGGTAGTATATTAAAAATCTGGTATGTTTTCAGCTTGTTAAATATTAATGATCACTACCTCAGTTTTCTCCTGTGCTTTCCATAAGCATCCATATAACTCAATCACTGCAGTGGTGTTATGTCACTTGTAAACGTATCAGGCCAGAAAGCAACAAAAAATGGGCAAATAACATGTAAGAACAAGCAGCGGTATACCCTTAAACATGTAAACAGCAGCTGCAGAGGGAGGATCACTTTTGCTAGACTCCTGCAACAGATGATCCAATAGCATAACTTTATATTTATTCCTAATGAGTTCAAACACACTTTTTCTTAATAAAAAATGACCAGCTTACTACTCAAAGTTTAAAATAACTGAGATCCAACTAAGATGCACAATTATTCTCTTCTTCCCATCTCAGAAATAGTGAAATAGTGAAGCTCTCTAAAAAGAACAAAGATTAAAGAGATACTACCTGTACATGTGCTTCTTTAATGATTATTGTAATTACTCAAAAAAATTTACCTTTATTAATATCATCATAACAGCCAGTACAGACTCTTGCTTCCTTTTCCATGTATTGTAGTTTGCACTTCCGCCTGCAACAACCACCACAAAACACCTGAAACAGAAAAAGACTGAATTAAATATCACAGACAAAATCCCAGAATTTCCTGAATTAAGCTCCTATTATTGTTTACTCCTTTCTGTAAAACAGATTGCATTATATAAAGCACACATACACATTTGAAAATAGGGAAGGAGAAAAAGAGCTTTAGCATATGTAACTTCGCTGTGGTTTAACCCAGCCAGCAACTAACCACCACAAACCTTCCCCCCTGCCTGCCTCAGTGGGATAGGGCAAG